TTTATAGCGCATGTCAAAACGCGAATGCATTTAAAAGAACTCTGAATCGAATGACATTGAAAATGTCGCGGAACTGAAAAAAAAGAAGAGTTTCAATGAAGCTCTTACGATTTGTTCTAGAACTGTGCTCACTTTTAGTTGAGGCACAAAATAATAACAGAAGTAGAATATTTCTCTATATATATAAAAGAGGACAATTCCTGTGGGGATAGAAAATTGAAGCTGCTTTTGGTATCGAAAGTGAGAGTTAGGGAGGAGTTTGTCAAAATTCGATGATCAAAGTTTTTTGAGAAAGATATCAAGAAAAAGGCACACAATTCTGAACAAGCTTGACGTTATAAGCCTGCATGTAATCGATGTCTGCGCGTTGAACATATAAGCGAGAGCTCGCCGGTTCAAACACTGCAGCAATTTATTTCAACCCTGCATGATTTTTGTTAGTTTAATTTCTGGTAAGACAAAACTAGATTCATATACTAAACTGTTAAGCTAACCCGTCCAACTATCTGCATGCCGGATACACTTTTCATATCTTCTCATCTCATCTCTTCTCATCCCATCTCATCTCATCTCTTATGCACTATGCTCTACTCTATTCCAAGTCCAAATGCAATATTTTGACTGTGTTGGTTTTTTGCGCGCGAATCCCGATGCGTTAAGCTGCATCCCACCTCCCGCCCAACCGACCGAGGGGCGCAGTCGTATAGCGTACGACACGAAACCGCGAAATATAAATAAATAGCTAAGGAAACAAGATGTGACACGAGAAAGAGAAGACACAAACCAAAAAAACAGAATACCTAGTAATGCTTAATGAAATTCTGACGAGCATAGTTATCTGAAGAATATGTACAAGAGATATTGTTAGAGTAGTTGGAAAGTTAAAGTTTCGAGTGGAGTTGATGATAAATGTTTTAGAATCTATTAATAAACCACAAATAAATCTAAGATTTAATTAAGGAAATATGAGAGATAAATATTCTATTCTCTTACAGAAAGGCAAAAGCATTCCGAAAGATTAACTTTATGGCTTCGCATATCTCACGCCCCTATCGTATTCCATTTTCTTTGACATCTACTATACTTGTTATCAATTCTATCTTTAGTTTTCTTTTTTTTCACTTTTTCTCACTTATAGCTGCATTCGCTTTACCTTTCCTTACTTGATTTTTTCGCTTCCATTTGCACTCTGCACATATTAGACCTTAGTTCCTGGGAGTAAACATTTTGTCAACAAGAGACCAGCTGCAGATTACATTTAGTTATACTCCGTTTGATTTTAGTAAGAATTAAAATAAACAAAAAAAAAGGGATGAAAAAAAGAAAAGACAGCGACAACAAAGCAGAAGAAATACATTCCCCTGTGATATTTTTTCGCTTAAAGCTTAAAATTTGATGGTCATGAATACTTTCCATAGAGAAGAATACTAGAAAACTAGAAGGGGATTTTATACCCTGGACCTATTGAAAATGACCGAAAAATTGGGGTATAATGCATAAAGCAGTAGAAGGAGATATCTCTGGCTACATTAAGTGAAATCTTGAAGGTAGATTCTCCTGCACATCTATGCAATCGATAAAAATCGATATCGAACTTTTTGTAGTGAGCATATTTTTCAGCTGATAACAGCCCTGCCCTGTATATATGTGGAGAGGAGTATACACAGATCCAGAGTATGTTTGGATTTGTCTGAATTGATGAGCTGCAAATTTCTTGGCACAAGTAGAAAGAAGATTGACCTGACAGGGCATACACTGGTCGTATACTCCCGGCTAGCGCACTCTACCTGGTGTTTGATTGCTTTCATGCACTCAACTGTTGTGAGCGTATAGAGTTCCGGTAGCTCCCGCTCTAATGACGCAATAATTACCTTTGTTTTGTGAGCCTGTAAACGATACCTGAGTATCATTGTTGAAGATAAATGCTGTCGCCGCTTAACGTACTGGATAATTGCGTTGGGAGACAAAGCGTTGTGCTTAAAGCACACAAAGCCTGCGTGCTGGCATCGAAAAAACGAAAGTATCGCATTACGAATGGTACCACAAGACTCTGAACTGGCACAGCAATGCATTGGCAAAGCGAGTCACTAAAATGCGTCAAGTGCCAAAAACAAAGTTGGCCAAAAAAAGAAAAAAATCGAATAAAATGTATAAAGAGGGGGAAAACGCAACGCGTCTGTCGCATAAAAGTCAAAAAGTGTTGCCAAGGCACAAAATAGACGGCAGTGCGTGAAATTAAATGTCAGCAGGACATTGAAAGCGAACTGCCTCCGGCTACAGTTCGGGGTTTTGGCTTTCGCTTTGGCTTTGGCTGGGGCTGTGGCTGTGGCTCTCTCTGGCCACAAAACTTGGCAACAAATTTCGCAGCATAAAATTCACGCACAATTATTTTGCAACGACAAAAGTCATTAAGGCTTGTGTTCCAGTTTTTCCTTTAGCTGTTTGTGGCAAATGCTTATGTTAAATTTATTTCGTTTCCTGTCTCTTGTAAGCTAAACAAAATGAAAGCAAAAACACAGCAAGAAAACCGCAGCACAATTGCATTCGCTGAGCCTTTAAGAGCTGTTGGGCAGTTCGCAAAAGATATTTTCATATATTCTAAATGCGCTTTAGCTTATCTGACTTCAACTTAATGCTTAAGATTCCATGTGAGTAGTTATTGCTTTCTCAACTTTTTTCATGATGTGAATTTCAGCTTTGACCAACAGCTGAGCAAGAGTCTCGCCTGGTCTAATGAAAACAACTTTAACTGGGCGTTATAGTTGATGTCACAAACTATCGTCATGTTATTCACGAGCATGATTCCAATATATCATGATATTATTTACTAAACGATATACTTAAAGCAACCTCTCGCTTGCTGGCTCGACATCTAATAGCCTAATTCCACTGTCAACATTTCTAACATTTTATGCGAATCTTAATATTTTGCGAATGTGAAGAGATCACATTTTACTTATACTTATATGTATATATATATATATATATATATATATATGAATCTCGCATTTTCCAAGTCAAAGTTTTGCTGCTCACCTACGACCCAAAAAGAAGCATTAGCCAAAATTTCAAGTTCCTAACTGGCAGGCCCGACTCCTTTACATATAAATATATATATGAATTGTAGAGCAGTTGTGATTTATTATTGCCTGTCATAAAACAGCCCACTTTAACTATTGTGGGATAATAATACATAACACACACGCAGCCAAACAATTCCCAGCGTCTATTAACTCATGACAACGCCGAATGATTTCCCAGCGGCAAAGTTGCAACAATTTACACACAAATTCAAATAATATTTATCTAATTTTCGAACTAAACACGCAAGGACAATGGACTTCAATTGCAGCAAGGACACTTGAAACAGCAAATCCGGCAGGCCTTGCTTTTTCATAAGATGTTTGTTTAATTTCCCCAGCGTGCGTGCGGCTTGCAACAAAATGCGGCATAAACTCAAAATAATCACAAACTATATATTGTGCTCAATGTCAATAAGTCAGATAATAATCAAACATTAAGGTGTTGATATCCACAATTAATTCAGTAGAAAATTTTACCAATTTATAAATAAACTATTGAAATATATTATATTTAATGCAACATGGACTTACCGACTTTTCCGACCCTTAGTTAACATTTAGTGTAGTTAAATTATATGCTGAAAAAGAGCGAATTACTGTATATTAGTTTCATATATTTATCAGTGACAATATAAGCTTAAGAAGAGGCAGAAAGAGCGCACAAGTAGGGTATGCCCGACTGGGATATATGTTAGGGTCCAACGTCAAGTCCAGGAAACAAACATTCAAGCTACTTTCCATATTTATATGACCTTATATAATGATATGCGCTCTTGATTAACTTTGGCATTTATTTTGCGACCCTTTTATACAGGGTATAATATAACGTACAAGATGTAGATAATGCAACTTCGGCATTCAGGCTGCACACAAATCCAAGAACTTATTAAAAGAGTAACGGCATCGAGCTTGGCTTTCGCATCAGTTTGCATCAGTTCGCAATTAAAGCTGTCAGTTGATAGCATTGGATCATCATTAAATAAACACAATCGATCATTTAGGCAGCATTGTTGGATGCCATAAAATGCAGAGATAGCCAACATTAGTTGGCAATTGTGTTTGTTTCGCCCAAAACACACGGAAAGCCCCACACACACACACACACAGAGAGAGAGAGAGAGTGGAAGTTCGATTTGAATGGGAAAAGCTATTGATTTACATGGCCTTGTTTAAAATAGGTAGGTACATCAGCTACAATAGCAAATCCGCGCTGCTGTACAACTTTTGCAGGTCATACATTTCAATTTCAATGCATTGCAATTGCGAGTTTGAGTTTTCAAGGCCTTGTGCGGCAAGTGGGCAAAGAAGGAGGGGAACTGGATTTGCTTTTCATTTGTTCGAAATATCCACTACGACACGTTTGTGTGCCGCGCTAGTTCCTGTTTCCTGTGAGTGTTAGAAATGGCAGCAAAAAAAAATTGAAAGAAAAAAAAACAATGAGGCATTGCAAATTACTTCGACACATTTGCCTAGCAAATTGGAAAAAAAAAATAGAATGGAAAATGCAGACACATCCATTGATGTGTTACGCAGCTTTAAGATACGTTCGGTTTTTCCCCCTATCAAAAGCGAACTTTAATAACATTTTTGAATGTTGGTTACAGAACCTTAGCATCCTTGAATAGAGTAAGGTTACCTAAAAGAGTTGAAGAGCTAGGATTCCTGTAACCTAACCTAACATAATCCATCTTCGGCTCGTCTATAACAATTTTCTCGAGCCTTGCGAGTAATGAGCTAATCGGGCCAATCTTATTATGTCTCTTTACTTCCGAAAGCGCAACATAACTCTCACATGCTTAATACACCATGATTACAGCAGGTTAACATTCCTTCTGTTACTTAACAGCAGCTCTAGTGCTTTAACGGATAACAGAGAAAAGACATGTAGTTCGAGATGCTTCATTATGCGAATATTATTTTCAATATGAAACGATTTTTAACTGACGAGCAACTATGTATTTCACAAAACCGAGGACAAGCGCTTGTGTATGAAAAGACCAATGCTTAAATTTTGTAAGCTAGTTTAAAAGTGCGGATCAGTTATTATAACTAATCCTGGTTTCTCTTGCCAAACTTTCCCTTTTTGCCAACGCGACGTTTAGTTTCTGTGGTATTTGGCACATTTGCCGCGCAGTGATCGCCGCTGCCATTCGAGGCCTGGTTGTGCGTGATGTCCACAGCGCAGCGACTGGGAAACCAGCCGCGAATGGGACCCTTGCGCTCATCCACCTTGCCGCCGCCCTGATCCTTGTCAACGACACGCTCGCCAAAGAGCCAATAGTCGCGTATGCGTGTAACGCGTACCAGATCATCCGGCTGCAGACTAATGCGCGGATCGTCCGTGCAGGGTGCGCCCAGTGTAACCATCAGACCCTGCGACCAGATGGGCAGCCAGTGCCCAGTTGCCGGCGTAATGCATTTGTAGGTGCGCGTGCGATTGCGCTTGTCGGCCTTCTGGGCGAGCTGCTCACAGGTGAGCGCATACTGATCGCAGCCCTTGCGCAGCGGCCAGTCAATGCCCCGGCTGCGCAGCTGTGACTCAATGTTGAACACCTGGCCCAGATTCGCGTACCAGCCCAGGTCGTAGGGAAACACAAACGGCTTTAGTTTGTGCATATACCGGCGCGATTTCGCCTTCTGCACAATCCAATGCTCAATGTCGGTCATGTTCTTCAAAATGCTCGACAACTGAATGAAGAGCAACTTGATCATGCACAGCACAATGCCCAGGGCCAGGCCGAAGCTCATGATGCACATAAACAGACTGAAGAAATGATAGTGCACCAGACGCGTCAGGCTGCCATTGTGAAAGAGCTGCGCCTGATGATAGCTGCTGTAGAAGAAGCGAATCCCACCGCAGGCAAGCACCACGGCGGCATGCAGATTGCACAGCGCGTAAAAGAACAAAAAGTAGACGAAGTAGGCCTGATTGGCCCAGCCCACACAGCGATTGATCCAGGGGCAATGATGATCCATTTTCTTTACGCAACGATCGCAGCGGCGACAATGATGCGTACGCGGCGCCTTATATCCCTCGCACTTCTGGCAATATTGCAGAAACTTCGTTTCCCTGTAGTGCACCGGCTGCCAGCGGCGCGGCAATAGACCCGGACCCGTCAGCACGGCCATCACATAATTGTACACGGCCAACAGATTCAGCAGCACAAATAGCGCAAAGTGCGCGCTCGTCGAAAAGTTTACCTCCGGCGGCCACCATTTCCAGGTGGTCAGCGTCACGGTCAGCGTCACGATCAGAGCCGTGATTGGACCCCAGTGCAAAAACAGGCTCAGTTCGTTCGGATCTTCCGTCATCGTCATGTTAGATAATTGTATAGAGAGTTCTTCTTAATTTTAAGTATATATTTTAAAAGTTTAAAAATAATGCAAATAGTACTAGTTGAATATTCATTGTTTGCTGACAAACATCTCCAGATATATGTACATACATACACCGAAACTGATGAAAAGATATCTCTTTCTTTATATATAGAACTGTTTGTCCTGACGGACCGAATGACTAGTTGGTGATCAACGCACAGCCCTTATTATATTCTCATTTTCAAAGATCTTTGAGAGAATTTATGGTTTGCATACTACGGGCAATGCCTGGCTATACTCTCCAGTATTTTATATAGACATAGGTCAAAATATCTTAGCACCCTAACTAGATAAAATCTCATCAGAATTTCACGAGGCTTCATGGCTTGTACTTTAGAACAATTTGACATTTGAGTCTGCGAACCTCTTTTTTGGTCGAAATTCATGCAAACTTTTACCCTCTGGAATCCTATTTAGACATAGGACTCGGTCAAATTCACGAGGTTTGCTTCTTCATGATTTAGCCCCTAGATCAATTTGACATCTAAATCTGGCGACAAACGAAATTTATGGCAAAATATTCTGTTTTCCAAGACATTTGTTTCAATCGAAGCATTTACGATCTACACTTTGCTCATGGCAAATGTCTGCAAGGGTATCAACTCTTCGACGTGTCCTTACTTTCTATTTTTAACTAAATAAACTAATATTTTATAGATATATGCTGGCAGCTTTGGCTCAATTACATGTGGCAGAAATTGTCGCTTGAACTATTAACATTATTCACTCGACGTTTTCAGTCAATAGTAATATATATTCGTGAGCTTTTACCTATGAGTATTACACGAATACGGCAGAGATAAAATTTAATGTATATATTTTTTAATAATCGTATGCAAATTTATGAAGCACTCGCACTTGCATATAAATTTACAATTAAGCCGCGAAATTAAATGAAATATTTAACAAAAAAAAAAAAAATACAAATAGTAGCAGGACACGCCGCCGGGTTTGTGTTACGGGCATTATATTTGTTGCTGTTGTTAAAAATTAATAGCAACATTTGGTACCCGATGCAGCGGCAACAAAGAGACACCAAGCTTCAATTGAATTTGAATACGAGCCATAAATCTGTATGCACATTTTGTCTGGCTGCGGAATTTTGTATTATTTATGGAGCTACATTTGTGGCAAAAATTCAAAACATTTCAAAACATACACTAATGCTATTTAAACGATGAACACACACATACGAATAGAACTCGAGCTGAATGAAAAAATTAAAGCTTTTGAGAGCTTTTTATACCCTGAACCCATTCAAAATGGGTAAAAAGGGTATATTTGTGCAAAATGTAAATGCATGTAACAGGCAGAAGGAAGCATCTCCGACCCCATAAAGTATATATATTCTTGATCAGCATCAATAGCCGAGTCGATCTAGCCATGTCCGTCTGTCTGTCCGTCCGTCCGTCCGTCCGTCCGTCCGTCCTTCCGTCTGTATGAACGCAAGGATATCAGAGCCTATAAGAGCTAGAGACCTGAAAGATGTAGGTCCTGCAAGTGCCTACGCAGATCGAGTTGGTTTCCGATTATCGATAACTTGCCCCGTTTCCAAGTAATCGATAAAAATCTATATCGAAATGCTGTTCTTTGAGCTAGAGCTAGGCTTGGGCTAGAGCTAGAGTCACCAAACTTGACATATAGCTTCTAGAATAGTATATATGTGTGTATTTGGTGTTGGAAGACGAGGGTTCAGGGTATCCCCTAGTCGGGAGCTCCCGACTAGAACCTCTTACTTGCTTTATTTTTTGTGTTTGGGTAGCTCGGGTAAGGGGTTTTATTAAATTAATTACTTGCGATATATAAATTGCAATTAAATTAAATTTCTCTGCACAATTTGAGCAAGAAATAAATGTAATTTAAGACAATTGCAGTTACCTGCTTGTGCAGATATCCCATCCCCTTGGCTGCCTGAATGCACAGCTTTTGCAAGTAGCTGGATACACACTCACACACACACACATGCACACACACATGCAGACACATGTGCGCCATTTAATGAGTCTTTGTCTCTTTGGCTGTGCTGTGGGGATTTGTGTGACTTGTGACTCCTTGTTAGCCTGCACTCTTGTTGCCAGTTGCCCCACACACACACACACACATGGCAGCTAACAAGCTCTGTCATTTATTTATGTGCAACATTTGAGCCTAACAAGCGAAAGTGGCAATGGCATCGTAGCACTCACTAGACAAGGGACACCGTACACTGGACACAGCCAAGTGGGTAATGGGCATAAATAAACTTGCCTGCATACAAGCCAAACACAATTGGAATTTAAAATCGCACTTGAGCAAGATCTGTATCCGGCTCTCTATGGCTAACAAAGCAATCAATACGGTTTACATGCGTATACAATTGATTCAAGCATAATTGCTAATTGATACAGTGGGCGTGGCAGCAACACAAAAACAAACCAAAAGCAGCTGACATTGCTTTAGCTGAAGAGCGTGTGTTTTATTTATATTTAATAAATATTAATTGATTTATTTAGCCATATATTTAAAACCTATTTTCGAGATATGCAATTTTTTGTTTTACAAAATATCTTATTGAATTGTTGACACCAATTCTATAGAAATTGAAAGAAACGCTCTTCAACATTCATAATAACCAACGACAAGGTATAAACGCCTGAGGTCTAACAATTTGTCTGCACAGACTTTAGAAACTCCCGGTTCTATTCTTGGCTGACTTTGCTACCGAATCTAGAATAGCAAACACCTTGTACCCTATACGAAGTTTTAACCTGTTGAGAATTGCAAGGAAAACAACTAGATTTGACTTCAGAATGGCAGGAACTGGGTTAACGAAAGAGCTTCGCACTTTACCAATTAAAAAGCGGTCTATTTTTTATATACTATTGTGTATACAAAAAAAAAAACAGCATTTCAAAAAGGACCACAAGATCTCTCTGGCATAAGTAAATTTACCAAAAAGGCATTTCAAACCAGTTTTCCTAAATATTCAGTATTATAAGCGTTGGCCACAAACAATTATCTTTTAAAAGAGTTTTTGTACTTATACAAAAATCTTTCTTAAATGTAAACAAGTATGCATCAACTTTTTGTAACGTTTCGAAGAGTTTTCTGTACCCATTATTATTATTAATAGCTTTTATAACTAACAAAATCTACCATTAAAAATATGCCTCAAATTTGAATTAAGCAACTTAAATTCGTGACCTTCTATGAGTTTCTTTCATTCATAAACTAAAATTGAGCTACTTACATTTATGTCATATTAATGTCAATTTCTGTTCTTCTTGAATAATTCAAGTGCTTTGCTCTTAAGTTTTTATTTGGCGCATTTCAATGAGAACTTTTTTCAAAAGCGGCTCTTGATTTCGGAAGGGGGGGGGGGGGGGGGGGGGGGTCTGTAAGAAACCACGGAAAACTTCTCAAGTTAATTTGGAAATTAAATTCCCAACATTAAAACGCATAAATGACACTTAAGCTTGTATGTGCCTCAGCTAAGCAGTCGTTCGCCCTTTCCCTCCCTCCCTCTCTCTCTCTCTCTCTCTCTCTCTCTCTCTCTCTCTCTCTCTCTCTCTCTCTCTCTCTCTCTCTCTCTCTCTCTCTCTCTCTCTCTCTCTCTCTCTCTCTCTCGCTCTCTCTCTCCGTCTTACACTCTCTTGTGTGACTTAAGCGCGCTGTTTGTTTTCCTTATCAAAATGCCTGCGGCAGAGTGCTGGCAAACACACACAAGTGCACACAAACACACACAGTCTAGCACACACACACACACACTCACACACAGACATCTCTGGTGCACATATCCCTTAAGACAAACAACGCACAGAAAACGAGCTTCTGCTGACGTCGCAGCTGTAAGCTCTATGGCGGTGGGGCAACCGACTGGCCAAGTGCACGCTTGCGAGTCAAGAGTGCAGAAAAATGCATAGCATACAAAGCGGCGACGGCGACGCAGGCAGTGGCGGCGGCTGCGGCTGCGACTGAGACAGCCAAAGACGTTGCCAAAGCAAACAAGCAGCAGCGCAAGGCATATAAATTGCGTTGCTTGTGTGTGGGCACGGTCAGGTGGTAGGGGGGCAGGGGACAGGGGCAGATGCCAGAAAGCGGGCTGTAAACGTTTTTGGTGTTTGACATACGACGTGCATTAGCAGCAAAGTCAAGGATTAGCGCCACTTGTCTTGAAGAGCAGCGTCAAGGCGAGGCTGGAGGCCTCCAGGCTGCGCAGTTGACGTCGCAGCAGCGAACGGAAGCAGCGGCAGCGGAAGCAACGGCAGCGGAAGTGACTGCAGCAGCAGCAGCGGCGACTAACTGCAAATTTAAAAAGGCAGTTAATCCATTAAATTTAACTGTGAACCAATTTGCATGCGATTGTGTATATAAACAGAGGAAAATGCAAACAATTCAATTTGACCGCGGCAAAAAAAAGGGGCAGAGAGCGAGGGGGGGAGAGAGACAGTAAAAGAGAGAGAGTGCGTCTGAAAATATCGGAAAATGATTTCAAAGGCGCGCTTTAAAGTATTGAACAAAAAAGACAGAGAAGCAGAGCCTGTAGGATGACTGCTTTTGTCGAAAGTGATCAACTAGGAGATACCCTGTAACCAGCGTCGCGACATTCGAAATGCTCCCCATACAAACATACACATTGGCTCAAATGCAGCTGGCTCCTTCTTCTTCTTTTTCTACTTCCTCTTTTGGCCACACTTTATAAGAAATGCCGTCTTGATTAACTCCGCTGTTACACATGACATGCTAAAGTAAGTATATACCAAAGCACTAACCGCTTTAAAAATTTCTGTGAATGCAAGCAATTGACATCCTTCTACAATATCCATATCAAATTTCAGTTACAGTTTTCAGCTACAGGAGTTAGATGAAGTCAACTTGTCGTTGCGATCAAGAATATATGTATATACTTTATGGTGCGCCTCACTCCGGCAGTTGCAACAGCTTTTATACCCTTTGTACACATTTTCAATGGGTAAAAAATAAAGGAAGGGTGGCAGCTGAATGCTAACAA